CCACCATGCCTCAGTAGTGACACCATAGGGACCAACCCCACAACATCTGAATTGTTGCAGCAGAAGGCAACACACAGAAAACACTAGGGAAGTTCTGTACAAACATGAAAGAAATGTCACAGGATCCAGGATCCAGAAGAAATGAAATGCAGGCCTTGGAGAGACAAATCCACATCCATGCTAAGCACTGTGAAAGAGCCAGATTCTAAAACCAACCCACATGACCATCTGAAGGACACAGGATGCATGCGCATGACACTACATGTTTGTCAGAGCAGTGAGACTCACAGCTGCAGCTCCATGGATGAGATGAGAGGTGTAATGTTGTGTGAAATCACCAAGCACACACTGAGGCCACAGGATCTCTGTGACTCGTTCATGCCTGAGAGCCAATGGCACAGTTCCAAGGTCTAATGTATGGGCAAGAGATGGCCAGATGTGGGTCAAACATATACCACTGCTATTAAGAGGAACTTATTTCAGGAGACTTAATATACAACAACCACAACTGTTGATGATAGTCTGTATTTGTGAAACATGTAAAGGGGGTATGTGCTATGGACTTTCATCACAAAAATAACCATATTATGTAATAAACTGGGAGACTAGCAAGGTGTGACTATATCACAATAAACACATGTATATACACATAAGCATACACATACATACAAACATATATGCACACTCATACATACATATATGTACATATATACTCACATTCAATCACACATTAGCATTTACATATATACATACAACACATATAAACATACTTATACACATACATGTACACACACACATAAACACACTCTCACACAAGCAAATATATTCATCAAAATGTTAGATTATCCATCATTTAAAACAAAAAAAAATGGAATTCAGAAAATAAACTACCAAAAACTTTCCTGTCTGACAATGTCTCTGTCATTTACACCAGTGTTTTCTGAATTACAAATGGTTGATTGATATATCTTAAACTGGGAAAGATCTATTTGCAACAAGGTATGGACCACAGATGTTTGCATAACTACACAGGGAAAGCAGCTGACGGGTTTTCTGATGCGTTGCCAGTTAAGTCCCAAGGCACTATCCCTCCAGGGATGGTACAATCAATAATTACCTGAGTAGAACACCAAACCAAAATACTTTTCCATTACCCTACTCAATTTCCCTTTCTGAGAATGGATTAATCTCAATATTTTAACAGAAACAAAAATAAAACAAAAACAACACATTGTATTCAACTAGAAAAAAAAGTTCGAGGCTCCTCCTATATTCCGTAAGTCATGAGCCAAAGACAAGTTTTAAATGTGAGACATCATTACTTCCAATTTTCAAATTTGAACTTGTAACATCTTTAAACAAAAATAACATTATATTCCATATAATGTTAATAAATCAATATCCTATATTTTTTGTTGATTTATTAAATCTAGCACATTAGTTACTTTTCTGTTGATGAGATGAAATACCAGAACCAAAAGCAACTTACAGACAAAACCATTTACTTAGGCTTATGGTATAGAGAGATAAAAGTCTGTAGTGACACACAATTATGGTAGAAAGTTGCAAGAATAGCAAGCTGGGAGATCACATCTCAACTGCAAACAGGAAGCTGAGACACAAGCAAGAAGTAGGGCGGGGCTATAAACTCTCAGTGCCTCTCCCAGTGATTCCTCTACCAAAGCTCCACCTCCTAAAAGTTCCAAAATACAGAAGCCTATCCAGGACATTTCTCATTCAAGCCACCACAACTAGAAACGAAAAATAGTTAAGGGACACTTTTCATCAGAAAGCCCTTGAGGAGTTTCAAGGGAACAGAAGGGGTCGGGAGGTCAGTGGTCTGGAATGCAGCCTATGTGATCCTGGTGGGTACAATCCCATTTGATTCACAGTCACCATACCTCAGACCACTCATTCACTTTCCTCTGTTCTTTAGACTTTTTGAAAATTCTCATTTCATTTATAGAGCAGAGATAATTACTATTCTCTGCCCATATTCAACTCATTGGTCAAATTCACCAACACCATCTCTTCCTGTGGTTTTTCTTGGACTCACTCCTCCGGGAGGAAGCTGTATTCTGGTCATAATTATTCTACTATGTTATTCAGTAGTAACACGCTTGCAGCCCCTACTGCATGCTGGGTAAAAAAAAATAAGACTGAAATAACAAAGACTGATGAAACAAAGCCCCTGATCATCATGACATCTATCTAACTGAGGCCTTAAGTCTCAAGTTTGTAAATAAAACATTTTTAAATTTTAATCAAAATTAATTATCAATGAATTAATTGACAGATTACAGAAGACAGGATTACTTTGAAGGCATTCTTGTCCCCGGCAACCTTTAGCTCTGACAGGTAGACTGAGAGAATGTGTCCCTTGGGCAAATGTCCAGAGTGAGCAATATCAAATGTAATCTGTGCCCACACCAAGCATCAGAGCCAGAGAGAGAAAGCAAGCCAATTGTCCATCTTCTCTCCTGCCCCTTTTATTACACAGAATGTTACCTGCTGTGGCACTGGCCTGAGTCACCTGCATCAGCCTGGACCTCTATCAGGTCAGACAAATGCATGTTTTCAAATACACCAGAGAGTACGAACCTGCAAACAAACAGTCCCCAAGTCACCCTTATGGCCATCAAAGTTTCTCTTTGCAGAGTCATAATCAACCAACTGAACATAAAGAAAAGTAACTAGTTTAATTTATGTATGAGAAAAATACAATCAATAACAGTATGAAATTTTTACCTTCATACCACTGAGCTCTTTGAGCATAAGAAATAAACAAAACATTTGCTTTAAATTTCAACAGGGCTATAGCTTAAGAACTCGAAGTTGGTTTACAATTTGAGCACTTCAGTATATAGAGGGTATCCTGATACATGAGTGTGCTGTGAGAACACACAGAGAGATGGGGGAGAGGAAATGAGGGAGGGAGGGAGAGTGAGAAGGAGAGAGAAGCACAAACACACATTCATGCACAAATACAATCATACAAACACATGCACATTCATATACAGATATACTCACATAAACACACACACACACAAGCAGGAACACACACACACACAAAAGGCACACATACACACACAAATAGAAACACACATACAAGAGAGACTCACAAATACACAAACACACATTCATACACAGATACATTCACACAAACACACACACACACACTCAACAAAAGTGAGTTCTCCTTTGGTTTCTCAATGCAGAAGGCACAGGAAGCCCAAAAGAATACCTGTCATAATGATGTTAATTGAGGTTAAAGAGACACTGTGGCATACTGTCCCCATTCCTAAAAAAAGATGATTTGTAATGAATATTTTTAGTCTTTATGCCTGTTTCAGAGATATCACTGTCTAGCACATTTATGGCAAACCAATCTTCCCCTATGGAATGGGTACATATCACAAGCATGATAGATCTTCTAATGGCACCCAGGAACATTCCTTCACTTACTCTGCACTCCTCTGACAGAAGCGGTTGACTGAAACAAACACCTAACCATATCACTTGTTTAACAAATCCAGCCATTATCCAGAGAGTCTTAATTGCCAGCCTTCAGTAAATATTTTGTTTTTCAAACTAATCAAAGCGCTTCATCTCAGAAATAACTACAGAGAAGAAAATCAGAGACAAGAAATAAACTCAAATCAAGGTAAAATTATACATAAGTCCTGACCTGAGCTGAACAGAAGACCTCTGACGTCAGGATCTTCATAGAAGGTATAAGGAGACAGTTTGACTCTGAAGCCTCTCGGGGGCAATATGTACAAGATAAACTTGAGATCCACTAACAATTACACCACTGTTGGGAATTACATTTTTAATGAGCGCTAATGCCCTCTGAATCCCATGCATAGGATGTATACAGGTAGTGATTGCAAAAATAAATAATCACAGGGCGTTTCAAAGGCTAGAAATAAAAGCAGGTACTCCAAAGCAGAGCATCCTTCATCTCCCACAAGGAGAGAACAGGCAAACAAACACAGCAGCCTCCAATCCACCAGCCTGTTGTCGCTGGATCTCTGCCAAGCATCAGAAACCACACTTGATATTTTGAGTTCTTGGATGAGTGACAGATGCTAGGACATCTCTGAGGGGAGTGGGAGGTTGGAGGAAGAACTCAGAAAGCGTCAGTGGACCTTTCCGGAAGGTAGCTGTATCAAGGCTTGGTGACTTTCACACAAGAACAAAGGAGCTTAATAAAGAAGAAGCCAGAGGATGATAATAGGATGGGTGGAGTCAGTCTTCACCTTCTGGGGGATGGGCTTGGAACTACTTTGTTTCCTACCTGGAGATGGCACATGTGACTGCACCACAGCATCTAACAGCACCTTTTCATCTCAAGAACCAAAGTGGCACTTCTGATCTAACTGTTCACAGCCACCTGCATTTAACAGGGAAAAGGGAAGTGTTTAGTCCGTGCCAGTTTGTAAGCCCTGAAGGCAGAAGTCAGGAACCTCCACAAACTTGGCTCAGCACACTGAAATTATTCGTTGTTGATAAAGAATCCACCGAGGTTGCTGAGGATGAGGAAATCAGTATTAGTCTGATGTAAACTGCCACGCAGGCTCCTGAACTCAGAAGTCTAACCCACTCAGAGTTCTACCAACGCTCTTCACCTTGGATCAGAGGTCTCTTAACTCAGACTTTCCACCTATAAACTGGTTTCTTCATAGAGATACAGATTAGTACAGCAGTTCTGTTCATATAAATGGGCTTTAGTTACTTCTGCAAATGACTAAAGAGGTGATGGTAGCCTTACACTCATGATTGCTGATAAGAGACATTAAAGTGTATTTTAAAAGTTCATTATTGATGACAATCTGGATCATAGCTGCATTTTCTGAAACTGTCAGTGTGTGACAACACGTTTACATGTCCCTATTTATAAAAGTAGCCATAAAAACACAGTTAAATCATAGTAAATATGGAGAAAAGATTATTCTTTAAAGCCCACACAGAACAAATAAAAGAATATAAGCTCTTACCTCTGCTCTCTGTGTCCTGGGAAAGGTAGATGACTTCTCTATGGCGTAAACATCCACCAGGTAGAGACATGCTCCCTGCTCCCGGTCCAAAATGGCTGCAGTTTGAATGACACCAGTCTGACGTCCAATGGTAAAGAGACGTCCAACAGTCTTCTCTTCACAGCGAACAGAAACGATATAATATTCCACTGGGGCTTCTGACCCTCTGGGGCTGGCTGCTTCTATGGATATGACATTGGTACCAATGGGCTCCCCTTCCTTCAAAATGGTTATGTATTTGGTCTGTGTGAAAACAGGCCCATCTAAGCCCTGGAGGATGACGGTCAGCTCTGTGGTTGACTTCCTCCTCTCCGGGCCCAGGTCTGTGGCTGATACTATAAGGTTGTAGGTGAGCTGTGAAGGCACCAAAGCAGAAGCCACTCGAAGGTCTCCGCTGTAGCGATCCACGGTGAAGGTGTCTGTGTCCCCATTGAGGATCTCATACTCCACCTCGCCGTTGGCACCTTCATCCGGGTCTGCAGCCATGATGGTAGTCAGGACAGAACCGATCATGGCTGAAGGGTCTGCAGCCAGTGCGTTTTGTGATATAAACATTGGGACATTGTCATTGAGGTCTGTCACCAAAATGGTCACATTTTTCAAAGCATGCTTCCTGGTTTCTATTGGCACAGCCTGGTCATTGGCTTTTACTGTTAACTCAAAGAGGTTGGCAAATTCCCGGTCGATCTCAGCACTGGTATAGATGGTTCCTTTGACTTCGTCTATGCTGAAGTGATTGCCTCGGGGCATCTGTTGGATGATGGCATAAGACAGCTGCCCATTGATATCTGCATCTGGGTCATGCGCTGTCACAGAAATTACAGATGTACCAAGGGGGATGTTCTCCACTATTGACTTAAAAATGTCTCCTGGGGGAAAGCTCGGGGGGTTGTCATTGAAGTCCCTCACCTGGATCACCACTGACATTGTAGATGATCGAGGAGGCCTCCCTTGATCTTTTGCTGTGATGTTTAATTTATATAAAGACTGTGTCTCAAAGTCCAACTTTTTGGCCAGAAAGATACTCCCGGTGTTGGGACTAATACTAAAAGTCCCGTGATTGTTTGACCCTGTAATAGTGTAGTGTAGATCAGCGTTGATACCCGAGTCAGAGTCGGTGGCAGTAACAGAGGATACAAGTTCACCAATCCTCATGTTTTCCAAAACATCCACAAATAGTGTTGACTTTGGGAAAGAGGGAGTGTTATCATTCTCATCCAAAATATCAATACTCAAGGTGCAGGTCGAGTTGAGGGAGATGGCCCCTGAATCCACTGCCTGGATGAGGAGAGAATAGGCCGGGGTTGCTTCATAGTCTAATTTGCCTACGAGAGTCACCTGACCAGAGAACCTGTCTATGGCAAACTGTCTCTCTTCATTTCCTTTGAGGATAGAATAATGAATGAGGCCATTACTCCCCTCATCCACGTCGGACGCAGACACTCGTAAGACCTGGGTCAGATTGGTCGCCGTCTCTGATACTGTAGCTTGGTAAAAGTCTTTCAGAAACTTGGGAACATTATCATTGATGTCCTTCATGTAGACATGCACAGTAGCCTGGTCCTTGAGAGGCTGAGGGAGGCCCTGATCTGTGGCTATCACTGTGAAGCTGAACACTGCTGTCCCCCTTCTCCTCATGAGAGACTCCCTATCAAACTTGTGAGTGCTGGTGATCTCCCCAGTGACAGCATGCAACTCAAAATCTGGCTGTGCCACCTCAAAAACATACCTTACTTCCCCATTTGGCCCGAAGTCTTTGTCCACAGCACTGACTTTTCCTACAAATGACCCAGCTCTCTGCTCCTCTTCAAAGTAAAATGTGTAATTGGTGCTATTAAACAAAGGTCTGTTGTCATTCACATCTTCTAAAATCACAGTGACATTCACAGTAGCACTTAGAGGCTCTACTGCCCGGTCAGAGGCAACAACCAGTAGCACATATCTGTCCTGAAGTTCACGATCCAGTTCACTTTTTATATAGAGCTGGCCATCTGGGAATATGCCGAAGGCATCCCCATTGTTCCCGTCTGTGATCGCGTATGCTATTTCCCCATTTGCTCCAGAATCTTTATCTGAAGCTTGCACTTTAAAGAATCGAGAATTCACAGGCTCTGACTCAGAAAGTGTGACCTCGTAGGAAATCTGATCAAACACTGGTGGGTTGTCATTTACATCGTAGACATAAACTGTCAGAAGGATGCTGGAGGAGAGCTGGGGGACACCCATATCAGAGGCCACAATTTCTACCTGGTACGAGCCAGCGTGGACATCTAGGGCACCCAGCAGACTAATGTTACCATTCTGCTCATTAATAGTAAACAGGTTCTTTGGGTTCTGCTTCAGACTATAGAGCACCCTACCATTGACACCTTCATCAGGATCCACAGCTTTGGCCTGGTAGATGCTGTGTCCTGCCTGCCAGTTCTCCACTGTGTTTATGCTTTCCACTGCCTGGAGGAAGTGGGGGGCGTTGTCGTTCAAGTCTTTCACTGTGATGTTAACCATAGTGTCTCCTGTTACTGCTCCCCCACTGGCCACTACTCTTAGCTGATAAAAGGACTGTTCTTCCCTGTCAATGACACTTGCTGTGGTCAGCTGCCCTGTGACAGGATTCATAGCAAACATACCTCTCTGGTCCCCAGTAGTGATGAGATAACTGATGTTGGCATTGAGGTCCATGGTAGTTGCAGAAACACTGCCCACATGATACCCCAGAGCCACATTCTCAAAGACCACAAAGCTGTAGGCAGCCTGGCTGAATACAGGTGGGTTGTCCTGTGTATCTAACACTGTGACAGTTACTATGGCCTGGTTGGGAGACTGTAAATTGCCCCCATCAGTAGCCACTATTTGCAGTTGGTATGCTGTTTTCTCTTCTCTATCTAGGGCCATTTTTGTAGAAATGACCCCACTCTTAGCATGAATCTGAAACCGAGACCTGTCCCCAGCTGATATACTGTACTTAACAGTTCCATTGGGGCCCATGTCTGGGTCGGTAGCAGACACTGTGGTGACATAGCTACCTCCAGGCTCATTTTCCTGGATATGAGCAAAGTATTGGACTGGATAGAACACAGGGCTGTTGTCGTTTATATCCAGAAGACTGACATTTACCTGAGCTGTGGAGGACTGGGGAGGAGAACCCAGGTCTGTGGCTAGAATCAATAGACAGTAAAAGGCTTGTTCCTCTCTGTCCAGGGAAGAGATAGTACTCAGCCTACCAGATACCGGATCCAGGCGGAAGAGCCTTTGGTCACTCTCAGCCTCTTGCAGGAAGAAACGCACTGTCCCATTGTCACCCAGATCCCCGTCTGTTGCCCCAAGAACCAAGAGCTCTGTCCCAGTTGGAGCATTCTCTACCACAGACACCTCATAGCCTTCAGGCTGGCTAAACACGGGCTTTTCATCATTGACATCCAAGACAGTTACCATGAGCTGGGCATAGGATACCTTGGGGTGGACCCCCTGGTCTCGGGCACTGATATTCAGTACAATCTGGGAAGCAAGTTCACGGTCAAGGCCTCCGGCAGCACTGGTGGTCACCAGTCCACTGTGCTCACTAATGTGAAACCAGCCCAACCCATTTCCAGAGACAATGCTGTAACGCAGGTTAGCATTCAGACCAGAGTCGCCATCAGTGGCAGACACCCCACTCACATAACTCCCCGGAGGCACCTCCTCGCTCAGGTTCACTCTGTACACTTGCTGCTCAAAGACCGGAGGGTGATCATTGATGTCATTGACGAAAATCACCAAGCTGGCCACAGAGGAGCGCGCCTGGACCTCGGCGGTAGGGGGCGCCCCGAAGTTATCCGAGACCGAGACTGTGAGGTTGTACGAAGGGATGCGCTCCCGGTCCAGGGCGCTGGCCACCTTGATGAGGCTCAGGTTGGGCACCTTGCTCCTCTGTACCTCAAAGTGGCGTTGCTCATTGCCCCCGAGAATTTGCACTGAAATGTTTCCGTTGGCTGCTGGGGAGTCAGCGTCGGTCACGGTGAGCAGAGCCACCACGGTACCCACTTGCGCGTTCTCATCCACCGAAGCGTAGCGCGAGGTGGCAGGGAAGTAGCGAAACTTCACTACCGGGTCGTTGTCATTGACATCCAGGAGCTGGATAAGAGCTTCAGCGCGCCCAGTGAGCGAGGGCACGCCCCGGTCCGTGGCCTGAACTGTCAGAGAATACTGTCGCCGGGCCTCGAAATCTAGCGGTTCTTTCACGGTGATGAGCCCGGTCTCTGGGTCCATCTGAAAGGGGGTTCCCTCATCCTGCAGCCGGTAACGGATGTCCGCATTGGTACCCTCGTCTGCATCTGCCGCCGCCACCTGCAGGACACTGGAACCCACAACTGCATCTTCAGGCACCCCCGCCTGGTAATGGGAACTGCCAAACACCGGGGGATTGTCGTTAATGTCCTGTACAGTCACGTTGACCTGAAGGTAACCCCGCCGCTTTGGCTCACCCTTGTCCTCCACCTCCACCAGGAGCTGGTACTGAGGTGTGACCTCGCGGTCCAGCCCGCCCTTGGACACCAAGTGCAGGAACGCTCCCTCTCCACTGGGGTTCAAGGTGATGTCCAGGCGAAAGCGGCCCGCCTCGTTGCCACGAACGATGCGGTAGGAGCGGTGGTCCACACCGTTGGAGCCGATGTCAGAATCGGTGGCGGTGTCCAGAATGACCTGACGCCCGCTGCCACTGTCCTCCTTGAAGGTGACCACGATCGAGGGGTCTGGAAAGACTGGGGCGTTGTCGTTGAGGTCACGCACCAGCACCCGCACCTCGGTGGGGTATGTGGGAGAGCTGGAAAGGACCACCAGGTTGACCACATCGCTGGGCAGGCTCTCGCGGTCGATGGTAGCGGTAGTGTACAGCGCTCCTGTGCTGCTGTTAATAGCGAACAGGGCGTGGCTTTCACTGAGCCGATAGGTGAAGCCAGGACGCGTTGGGATGGTGCCCACCAGAGTCCCTGGGGGCTGCTCTTCCATCACCTGGAACACCTGGCGCTGTTCGGCGGCTTGGACTCGGGCCGGGCCGGGAAGCAGCGACAGCAGCCCCCAGACTCTCAGGAGCTGGCACAGAGATAGAGAAGGTAGGGGGAGCCGCCTGCGGCAGGGAGCCGGGTTTGCGGCCAAGTTCATGGTCCTAGTTTCCTGGAACCTGGAGTAGAAGAGAAACAAGGTGAAGGAAACGGGATGATGTGGAGGGCTTCTGAGTGGCACCAGTAAAAGCCAGTTTGACTGGAGACCTCTGCAGTTCAGAAGAGTGGGTGAGGGACAGACACTCTGGAGAAAGCTCTAGGTGGCCGGTGAGACGCGCAGCGCAGAAGAGAGTGAGGCGACCGGCAGGGGAGCATCCCTGGGCTTTCCGGTGAAAGTTTTCAGGAATCCCAAGTCTGAGCGTCCTGGCCGCGGACCGGAGTTGCGAGAGGCGGCCTGGATTTGGGGGATCTGAGGAGTCACTGCACGCACGTCTCTCCAAAAACTTCAGAACTTACCCGGAACGCGACGCCAAAAAGGGCAGGGCCAAGGGCCTCAGAGCCAGAGCCCCTGCACCCTGGAGACAGAGCGGGTCGCCTGGAGACCCCAAAGCTAAATGTGAAGACTCTTCTCCGGTTTCGTTCCGGGGGAGCCTGGAAGGTCGTCCGTGGATCGGGCTCCCTCCCCCTGCAGCGGAGGCAGCCAGGGCTCCCCGTCCCGACCGCGGCTCCCGCAGCTCTCAGCTCCGCGCCTCTGCGGGCAGCCCGGGCTGCCTTTGCTCCCGCTGCGGGTCGAAGCCCGAGGTCCAGCCCAGGCTGCCGCAGGCGCTGCTCCGCATCCTTCACCTCCGCACCGGCATCGTTTGTAAGTCCACTGAGCGCGGGTTTCCCTTCCTCCTCGGCTCCGTGGAGACTGGACAGCAGCAGCAGCCCTGTGTCCCAAAGCCCCCTCCCTTCACCATGCCAGGGGCTCTTCCCCGGGCGTCAGCGGGCACCAGCGCCCCCGAGCGCTCCTCGCCCTTGTCCTGGGATCTGTGCTTTTATTGTCCCGGGTCAGTTTCACTTTGTAATCCTCCAGGCTTTGTGTTTGGAGTGGGGTGGGTACCTCCGTCGCGGTCCCCGCGGGCGATAGGGACAAGGAGGTGCGGGCCAGCTGCTCTGGGCGCCGGGTGAACGCGCTCCTTTGCAGCCGGGGCTCCGAGGTGGCACTTCGATGGATCTGGAGCCCGGTGAGTCCCCCGCTGCCTCTCCTGGTCCCTCGCACTCTCCCCGCCCCTTCCCCGCTGCGCGCACACACGCACTCGCACACACGCGCGCACACACGGAGGGGGAGGGTTGTCCGCGATCGCGAGCAGGACTGAGAAACTTTGCTCGCCCCTCGGTGCTCCGGGACTCCAGTGGCCGCCACTCCCCTGCTCTGGTCCTGTCACCCTCCGGCCCTGCCCCGCTACAGCTCATTGGCCACAGCCCCGCCCCGCGTCCCCGCCGCCCTAGCCTCCAGCCGCCACTGGCTGGGGCGACGCTCGTCACCGTGGCCTCCGAGGCTGTGGGCGGGAGGTGGGCGAGCCCCACGGCGGAGGCGCTAAGAAGGGGGCGACCACCCCCAACTCCTTTCTATTTATTTATTTTCCCTTTCGGTCAAACCTTGGCCGGCGTCGGCGCAATCACAGCAAGAGCCAGCCGCGGAATAGATGGGGGTGGGGTCAGATTTGGAAATAAATAAGTTTAGTGTCCAGAGCTGGGGGTACCATTAGGCTGTTAGGCTGGTAATAACTCGGTGGAGGGGGTCGAGGGAAATGAAAGAAAGGTTGGGGAGAGGGTCTGTTAACACGGGAGGAAGGATTAGGCAAAGCCTGTCTGGGAATGCGCGCGGCTGCTGAGCTTTAACCATTTCACGTCCTCGCCAGGGGCAGTGTTCGAGCAAACTGCGGCCCACAGTACCCCATAGAACCCCAGCTTTTCTCGATTCCTGAGCCCTCTTCTCGATTCCTGAGCCTGCTCCCCTCTTCGCTGTCCCTCAGGTCCGGGGGTCACGAAGGCCTCGGTGTCAGCCAAGCTCCAACTTCTCAAAGGAAGATAGGGGCACGCTGGCACCCACAGCGTGGTTAGTCTCCTAGCTGGAATCCTGTCCACTGGAGGCTTCAGCTGAAACAATGGCAGCTTCTGCGGGGACAGTTTCCTCTTACAAACCCAGTTTGGAATTTTTGACCTCCTGTGGGGTTTTTCTCCCCTTGACATTCTCCCCCTAACCGAGGGAAATCTAATAACGTTTGGTTTCGATTTTGGCCTGGGGGAAGAATAGCTATAAGAAAATAGAAATAAATGAAATGAAGTTTAAATTTAATTTTTTTTAAGTGTCACACATCACCAACCGCACTCAGACTATTCCCCTGCCTCGGCTTATTTGTGTGATGGTGCATGAGGTTTCTTTAAAAGAAAAAAGAAAACGTGACTAGGAATCGGGTCAATAAATTTCCCCTTTAAGGGAATCAACTTGCAAAATATGAACTGAAGCCAAATAATGCAAATATAGGGCATATGTCATACAATTTTGCCACAGGAATCCCTCCAAACATCAAACTTTCTGCGCCTAGAGATGGTTCAAGCACGAGCCAACACTGCCCCCTGCTGTTTCCAGTCTGGCTGCTACAGTGGCTGGTTTCGTGCCTTAAATTAAATGCAGCTGGGAAGATCTGGTTACAAGAGCTAATTCCTCCTTCTTGCCAAGGGATGGGGGCAAAGAAAAAGGATCTGGAAGGATCTCCTACTGCCTTTCCTTGTGTGAGGTCAGAAAACAATCAAAAGCGACAGAGAAGACAACACATTCAAGTCCCATGGAAGAAAACCGCCTGTAACCTAAACTGAGAAAGGATAGAGCCTGATTCTAAAAACATCGCGAATTCCTTTGTTTAGTTAGAACGTTCACTTCTGCCTCTTCCCCAGCTACAGCGTGATGAGTGAACTGGACGGAGACCAGAGAGTTAGGCGTCTCTATTGCTACATTTTTCAGACTGCGAAACTATTGAATACATTTCATTAACCGTCCCTCTCCCCTCTCTCAAAAAGGCAAAAAAAACAAAGCAAAACAAAACAAACAAAAACGCCTTTATGCCCCTTCAAAATTACTTTTATCACTGCCAACCAATCTTTACCACCCCCACCCCCAATGCCATAAGTTTGCTGTAATCCAGCCAAAAAAGATTTGTGGATTAAAGTTGGGTCAAAGTTACTGCAAATCGCCCTTATAAGAGTGAGAACACTGCAGAAGACTTTATGTTTTGTTTGCTAATCCTGCGTAGTTAGATACTTGGACACGTAAGAATGGGAAGAAATCACTCGGATACATTGAGGGAAGACGGTGGATTTCTCTGGTCTGCCTGTTGTCTGTATGGAGAGCATGTGAACCGACTTCATAGCTCAACAGAACGGAATTAACATCTCTTGCCAGCGAATTTAATTTGAGAAAACAGGTAATTTAATTCATTCTGTAAAACAGAGTGTTTAATCTGTGAAATAAGTGTATAGTCTTCACTTTAATAAAAAAAAAAGCAATGTAAAAAAATATGGGTCACATTCAGTCCAAAAATATTTGTTTGGAAAATTCCAAGAGAGGATTACCACAAATTATTTAAGCAATGCTATGGTTAGTTGAACGACTAACTTTCCATAATGATGTAATCAACTCATTTGTAGATAATTCTACACAAAACTACAATTTTGCATGTGTAGTATGTAATTTAAAAAGAAATAAGGAGAATGTTTTGAATAAAACATGAAATAAAGCTTTTGTTATATTTTATTTTTGTCTCCCTTAAATTTCTAGAGCTGTGTTAACATGGTATACTATCTCATATGTGTGTGTGTGTGTGTGTGTGTGTATATATGAGATATTATATATTATATATTATATGTTATTTATATTATTATATATTGCATAATATATAACATAATATAAAATGCAATATAATAGATAATAGATGTAATATACTACAAGATATATAATTCTTCCTCTGGGTGGGAATAAAGGCTTTTGTCAGGGATGCTTGACCACCTCAATTCTGTCCCCAGAAACCAGACAAAGTAGCACAATTGTCTGTAACTGTGGCACCACCTAGTGGGAAATGGGAGACAGAGCCAGGAGAATCCGTAGAAAGCAGGACAAGCAGCCTGAGGGATGCAGTTGAAATGAAGCTTAGAGCAAGATAGGAAGAATGGACTGACTTCCATAAGTGTGTGCGTGCACACACACACACACACACACACACACACACCACGCTCACATCTCTCTTACATAGATACCAAAAAAAAATCGTAATTCTTCTTGTAAAAGTGGAAGGGAGACATGAGGTTGTTGCACACATGAAATATATTTTGAAAACATGAACTACTTTACTAAGCAGATGACGAAGGGCATGCAGCAGTGGATGAAAGATATAAGGACTACTTCTTTTTTTAATTGGATATTTTATTTATTTACAATACAGATGTCATCCCCTTTCCCCATGTCCCCTCCCTAGAACCCCCCATCCTATACCCCCTCTTCCTTTAAGCTTTTATACCATTTTGATTACATGCATGTTTTAAGGTCAGTTCTAGGTTGAGGCTCTAGCAATACAATAGATGCAGATAGTCAAGGAACAAGCAAGACAATAAACACAAATAGTCACTTCCGGTCTGGGCCCAAGCACTGAGCAGATCCCGACAGCTGCTCTACACCCAATCTCACAAAACCCAGAGGAAGCAAGCCTCCCAGGAGCTCTAACCCAGGCAGTATCTTAAGTTAGGAGATAGCAACCCTCCCTCCCAAACAGGGAGTAACTGGGACCCACTAGGACCCTGGAATTCACTCCTGGCCCGGAGCATTGGTTCCTTCCTGTTTGTGCCTGGGCACTGAGGAGATCTTGGGCCCCAGCTCTTACCCTAGTAGTGACATCCACTACACACAGCTCTGAAACAACCAAGATAATAGGAAAGACAGGCTCCAGTCAGAGACAGCGCAGGTAGCACTAAGGAGATCCAGATGGCAAAAGGCAAGCGCAAGAACATAAGCATCAGCAACCCAGGGTACTTGGCATCATTAGAACCTAATTCTCCCACACTAGAAAGTCCTGAATTCCCCATATCACCAGGAAAGGAAGATTCAGATTTAAAATCACTTCTAATGATGATGATAGAGG